TGAGTGATGATGCAGGTGATGGATAGGTATGGTGGAGGTGACGATCGTGGAGATGATGGTGGAGATGATGGCGTGAGTGATGATGCAGGTGATGGTGGAGGATTGCAGAATTGTGGCAGCAGTGATGGTGAAGGTATGATGGAGGTGATTATTGTGGAGGTGATGGTGGAGATGATGGTGGGAAATGATGAAGGGATGACAAAAGTGGTGACAGAGGTGGCAGTGATCACGGAGGTGATAGTGGGAGATGATAGTGAGAGGTGATGGCAGTATTGTAGATGTAATGATGGAGATGATGGGGATGATGGTGAGGGTAGTGAGGGTAATGGCAGAGATGATGGTGGATGTGATGGTGGTAGCATGGTGAGTGATGGTGGAGCTGACGGAGGAAGGATGGTGAGGCTGGTAGTGCAGATGATGGTGAGGGTGATGGTGGGGTGATGGAGGAAGGATGGCGAGGGTGATGGAAGAAATGATGGCAGGGGTGATGGCAGCTGGCATTTAGTGACCATCTCCCAGATGTCAGAACCTGACAGTCCAAGTGCTTCTGTCTACGCCCTCACTTCATCTCAGATTAGTGTAGGACTTGTCTTAGTTCTGGTTCCCAAAATAGAGCCTCAGACTAGGACGTGGGTGCTGGCGGTTTGTCTGGAAGGCCACCTTGGAAGCTGGCGTGGGAGTGGGAGAAGGTGTTGGGAAAGGAGCAAAGTCAAGGACAAGGGCACATTGTCAGGATCGCTGCTGCAGGCAGAGGGCTCTGACGCCTCGCAGGGCCTCGCCAACCCTTCCTGCCACCACCACATCCCACCCCTGTCTTTTCCCCGGGCCTCTTCCTTTCTCTTACTTACCACACAACAGAACCTCCAGTTCTCCAAACACCTGCAGAGCTACAGATGAGTATGTCTTTCTCCACATGCTGCAGGTAAGCAGTAAAAACACTTCTTCTCTCAGTCACATGACTGTGAGATCATGGAAGAGTTAATAAAACTCTCTTTGCTTTTGTTTTCACACCTGAAAATGTTAGTAGTCATACTTCTAGGAGATATTTGTTTCAAGAAATTACCAAGGTTAATATTATCAAATATTAAAAGGCATTAGATTTTTCTGTAGAAAAGGATATTGTTATTTTGCATAGTATTTTTTACTTGTTTTATGACCAGAAATTCTAATGAGTAATTCAACTTCATCCTTTTCTTTTTTTTTTTCTTTTT